CTGTTAAAGATGACACACTTCTTGGGTTTGAACTCGATGAGGCTCAGAGCCTCGTCCAGGAGCGGCTTGTAGGGTACAGTCCGGGACGGTTCCACCCCGCAGTTGGCGCTCACCACGACCGTTGGCTGAGGAGTATGAGATTTTCATAAAAATTTTAACACATTTTTTTTTGCATGTTGTATTTCATTTGAGTAATAAGAAACTGGAAGACCAACTGGAAGCTATAGAGGTACAATAAGACCACCCAAATATCAATCCATCCACAAACTACCCAGATATCAACCAACCCATCATCCTACTGGAAGCTATAGAGGCACAATGAGGAATGAGGCCTGGATGTGCTGAGATTGGAGAAAGCGGCCAGATGAGAGCTCTATCGGGCATTAGAATTGGTCGCTTTCAAGGGCAAGCGGGCTAACACAGATTACAGGGGTTTCTAGAGATCTTGACCTACATCAAAAGTGGGTATTGCCCTACCCATAGAAGAAGTTCGGTTTCATTAGTGTGTATATTTGCTTGGTTACAGAAAAAACTCTCCTCGTCTTTGGAAGAAACTGAACAAGGGGCAAAACATTACCTTTGATTTTCTCAAAACGGCATTTTTCGGGATAGCTCCATTGTGCTCAAAATGACCAAGTGTCTTCTCATCTCTTGGTTGTATTTCAAGACAAATCGACTCATTTTTAAAGCCAGGAACTATATCAAACTTGTGCTGCGGGTGAGGGGTAATTAAAATCAGGTTGTTATTTTAGTCAAAGTTTTACTGCACTAGAAATACAAAATGGTCTTTAACCGTAGAAGATAAGTTTAGTCTTAGTAAGAGTTTAACAGAACTTGCGACTCAATAAGGTCAAATAAGTGTCGAAGATTAGAAGTGTTACAAGAGAGAGTAACAAACACCAAAAAAAGTAGGGGAGATAAGGACGATAGATGTTTGATAGGAAAGAAGGAGCAAACCACACTGAAGATAAAGAGCTGTTTGTTTGTTTAGTTTGTTTGAGTAAAGAGAAGCACATCGACACAATGATGGTCATTTAGCGCTGGGAAAAAGTAAGACAGACAGACAGAGAGAAACAACACAAGAAAAGTAAAGAAGTAGGACCTCCCAGTGGTGTTTGCCAATCATCCACAGATAAGAGATGTTCAAGACAGTAAAGAAAGGAAAAGAGAGAGAGAAATTAAGAGGGATAAAGAGAGAAAGGAGAGAAGAGACAGCGATAGAAACAAAGAGAGAGAGAGAAAGAGAAAGAGAAAGAGAGAAAGAGAAAGAGAGAAAGAGAAAGAGAGAAAGAGAAAGAGAGAAAAAAAAAGAGAGAAAAAAAAGAGAGAAAAAAAAGAGAGAAAAAAAGAGAGAGAGACACAGAGACAGAGAGAGGGAGAGGGAGAGAGAAAGAGAGAGAAACAAAAAGACAGAAACAGAAAGACAGAGAAAGAGAAGCATCATACAAGAACACAATAAATACACAACTTATCACTCTCAAAACCAAGACAATCCTCCACATCCCCCCCCCCACACAAAAACATATAAA